ATTTTCTCGGGATTTTTTTTTGGGGGGGTCCCCCCCCCCCTTTTTTTTTTTTTTTTAAAAATTTTTCCCCCCCCCCCCCCTCCCCAAGTTTGGTAAAGGGTAAATTCGTTAGGGCAGAAAAGGGGGGGGTTCCCCCAGTTTTGGGTTCTCCCTTGTTCCCTTGGGAAAAGTACCCGGGCCGGGGAAAACCCCAACATTTCCCCCCTTCCCGGTGGGGGGGTCAATGTTTTAAGGATTACGGCAGGGGTTTTCAGGATTAGGAGAGCCCCCCCCCCCCCCCCCCCTTGTTCTCCGGCGGACTACTCTACGACTCTTTTTTTGGCCGCCCGCTTTTATGTTTCTTCTCAACCTCTCTCGTGTTTCGGCCCGTTTTAGTCGAGTCTCCGCTACATGAGTCCGCGCGCGGATCTTTAAGTGCGTACCCAAGGAGCTGTCGAAGACCTGGGAGGCGGGGGTGACTCGTTCTTTGCCTATTTGTTGTTCCGCTTAGGATGGCACCGGGGTCGCTTGCCATATTTTTCACGATCAAACCTTGGTGTATCTTCTTTTTGCTCTCGTTTTCTTGTTGTAAATGCAGGCTCATCATCCGTCTCCTGGCGCAGCAGCAGCTGTTCTTGGCGTTCCTGGAACCGGTCGACCTCGTGGCGTGAGTGAGACGATTGATCGATCGACGTACATGTTTGTTCTCCCTAGCCTATTCCTATTTTCATCGTGGTTAGTATGCAGAGTTGCTGCCTTCTTTTGTTCTTGAAGTGTTTTTTTTTTTTTGTTGCGGTTGCCGTCGTGGTCGACGTTACACCGCTCCTTCGAAGCCCTTTGATGTACGCTCATGCTTGTTCTAACCAGCCTCATCTACCTTGTCGTCGGTTGTTTGTCGTTGCTGCCTTGTTTTGATTGGTTCATTATCTTGCTGTTGTCGTGGTCGTAGTAGTTGTCGTTACGCCGCGCTTTCGGAGACTTTCTTATCCTTTCATCTGTCCCCGATGTGTTGTAAGTCTTCGCAGGGAACCTCACTGAACAAACTGAACAACAGCGTCACCGTCGCCAGGTTTCCTTTCCCCCTCCCGCACCGCCATAACCCCCGCCCCATCCCCTCCCCTCCCCTCCCTCTTGTGGAAACCCAGCCTCCCCCTCTACGGGGCCCTGATCAAGCGGCCGATGGACCTCCAGACCATGTACTACAAGGTCCAGTTCGGATCCTTCGGGGGGCTTCACCCTAGCGCGGTGCCCAACACAGACCCGCCGCCGGTGGAAGATGGGGGCCCCGCGGCTTCGCAGCATGAGGTGCTAGACGTCCTGGCGGGGGGTCCCGGCGCTGCTAGGGCCACCCCCCCCGCTGCGTCGACCGCACCGCCGCCCTTAGGAGGCGGCGTGTTGTACGATGGTACCGGCACCGTTGTCGCTACTGGTTCTACCGTTGCTGCTGCCGCTGCAGCAGCTGCCGCCGCCGCCGCTGCTGCTACCGCGCCTGGTGGTGAGGACGACGAGATTGACGGCTTCTTCAGCAGCGTCGCCGCCGCCGCTTCCGGCGAGGTCTCTGACGGGGTGGTGGCGACGCCGGCAACGGCGGCGGAACCTCACGACGTGAGCAGCAGCAGCAACGGAGGGCTCGGGGTTCAGAACAACGGCGGTGACCCCAACGACTTGAGGGGGGGCGCCGGTGACGAGACTGGGGTTGTGCCACTCGGCCCGGCGACGGCGACGGCAGTATACGATGGCGGCGGCGTCGTCAACGGGGGCGGGTTTGGCTACGACGGCGGGGGGCAGCAGCAGCACGTGGGCGTTTCCAACAACGCTGGCAAGGATGTGAGCGGCGGCGGTGGCGGTGGCGGCGGTGGCGGCGGTGGCGGTGGTGGCGGAGGCGGTGGTGGCGGCAGCCGGGCCAACGAGAGCGGGCCTTTGCCCGCCGCACCGGCCGCAGGGGGGCACGCGGAGGGGAACGAGGAACAGGAGGAGCAGGGGTTGTCAGTCGTGGCGACCGCGGTGCCGTTTGCCACGGCGACCGCTCCTTTCGACCACGTCTCTTTCTTCAGGGACATGAAGCTGGTGCGTATCGTTGCATCTTGGTATAATAGGAGGTCGTCTGCTGTGGCACCCCCTTGGGGTATGGGCGATGGCGGTCCCGCATCATGTTAGACGTGCGGTGAAAAGGTCGAAATACTTTGAGGACCACACATGAATGTGAATGTACCGTCCCCCTTCCTCTCCTCTATGTATCCTACCCACCCGGCTGTAGAAAACCCGACGAGCTTCATGCGAACCATGCAGGGATGCAAGGACTTTTGCATTGCGGGCATGCCTAACGTTGAGTGCCCTCCCTCCCCCCCCCGCCCTTATTGCGCGCATATCGCCGCCTTTTGCCACCATTTTGCGGTGATCCTGCGGCCCCGTGTAGATCTGGAAGAACGCCCAGAAGTTCAACCACGATGGCTCTCCTCTCTGGGTGGCGGCGGAACACTTCAAGAACCAGCTCGACCGCTTGTACAAGGTACAGCAGTACGCCCGTTGTACGCGAAGGGTTGCGGATGATACCCTTCTCGGAACGGATTGGTGTATGTGTATGTACCCGTTTTTTTTGGGTGCTAGTTGGCCAGTGAGGAGTTCGTCCGCGTCAGTTCGATCGGTACGGGTGTTAGAACGTGGTAGCGAGCAGAGACGGGAAACGGTTAGTGTGGGGACAAGAACAACATGAACGACCACACAACAACAATGCCGCGCTTTCTCCAGCGGTAAACGAAAAACTCCATTTCCTCCAACGCGCGTCCCTCCCCGAACGACGCAGGAGCGTCTGCTGAGCGTGGTCCAAGAGAGAACGCCGGCCCTCCCCCGCCAAACCATGGAAGACTTCCTGGCGACGCCTCCTCCGTGGGAGGTCCTTTGCTGCGCCTGCGGCGCGAACGCAGACCCCGAGGCAAAGATCAAGAAGACGCCCATCAAGAAGGGGAAGGGGAGCAAGAAGGCAGCGGCCGCCGCTGCCGCCGCCGCCGCCGCGGAGGAAGAGGTCTGGCCGGCGCTTCGGTGCTTCATCTGCCGGCGGCCGCGCCACGTGGAGTGCTTGCTGCTCCCGGGGCAGGCTAGGGTGAGCAAGCGAGCGGACCGCATGCAGGAGCAGTGGTTGTTGTGTCGGTGGCGCTTTGTTTGGGGGGGGAGAGAGGGCATTCAGTTTGCGCCTAGGGTACAGCTAACTCATTTGTGCCCGCGAATTTATGGTTGTGTTGTCGGGTTGTTTTGGGTGTTGTGTGTGGGACAGAGGCATAGGTGTAGACGCGGGATCCTTGCTCACCTTCTCCCCCCCCCCAAAGTGTACCGCCCATTTTTTGTGTCCGTGTACTATTCTGGCTCACCTCTTGGCAACTGTACTTGGGTTGTTTCCTGCACGCCCTTGCCCTTTACCCCCGGCTGCTTTACAGCCGTCACCCGCCGTCCGGTACCCAGAATAACTTACCCGCAATTTCGTCCTTTTTGTTCCAACCGCAGAAACGGCACGGCGTCTGGACCTGCCCCACCTGCAAGCACCAGCCGTTCTCGCCTCTGGGGCTCCCTCCCAGGATCCCCAAGCACCACCAGCAGCAACCGCCGACTTCGCCGAGGAAGACCACCGGTGGTGGCGGCGGCGGCGGCGGCGACGTGATACCGATGCCGCCCAAGGACGCGCTGCAGCCGGGGGCGAAGGAAGAACACCGTCTCGAAGTGGCTGCCGCCGCTCCGTTCGGAGAATCGAACGGTGCCGTCGCCGCCGGTGTGCCGACGACCACCCCGTCTTCTCCCTCGAAAGGCGGCGGCGACGGGAACCCGGCCGCGGGCGGTAGGAACAGGAGCACCAGCGTCGGGAGCGGGTATTCGGTTGGCGATGGTGGCGGCGATGGCGGCAGCGGCGAGGTCTCGAGGCGCACGGGACGGCAGCGCGTCGCCAAGAAGTTCGGCGATGAGTTCGACGAGGTACGAACGGCCGGCCACGGGTGTCCAACTAAGAGTGTGGTGGCATGGTCGAGGTTGCCCGTTTTATCGGCATGCGTCATAGACGTAGTATTGTACTTGTAGGCGTTTGGGATTGTTGCTGTGACGTGATGGCGTCACCGCGATGGCTGGTGTTGTTGTAGAGGATGGTGACATTTGGATTCTCGCCTCTACGCTACTGCTGCAAACGACTGCTGCCGTCTCTCCGTACCTTGAGCCGAGCGGCACTGCTGCATGAACGGCCGAAGTATCGGCGCTTGTGTTTCTTCTGTGAGAGATTCGAGGCGGACCTTGAGCCCCATTGATTGCTCCCCCCGCCCGCTTCGGACACACACCCGTCTTGACTTGCGCCGTCGCGCAGATTCCGCTGTTCCGAAAGTCAGCCAGTCACCACAAGGCCGCCGCACCCGTTGCGACGCCGGCCGCTGAAGTGATCACGGAGGAGCCCAGCGCGGCGGCGTATCAGCGCGAGGAGCGAGATAAGCCCGTGCTGGGTGTCGTGGCAGAGGAGGAGGCTAGGGAAGCCAAGCCTACCGCCTCGGAAGAGGAGAAGGAGGGGGGCGAGGGTGAGGCGAACGGGGAGCCGCGGCCGCCGCCCCCCGGCGATGGGCCGGAGCAGGTCCCGGGGAGGCAGGACACGGCTACGACGGCGAGGGACGACAGCGGTCCCGCCCAGCTCGAGAACGGCGGCGCGGTCGAGGAGGCTACGAATGCGCACCCGGCCACCGCCGCAGAGGCGCCGGCGGCGCTACCGGAGGAAGGAGCGGGACTCCCACGAGGCGGTGCGACAACCACCGCCGTACCCGCGGATGGTGGCGGTGGCGCCGGGGACCCTCCGCCGGTCGGCGCGGCGGGGCAGGGGCCCGCCGCTAAGGCAGTGGTGTCAGCGGAGGTCGCCGTTAGCGCGGCGTCGGGATCGGCATCCTTTTCGTCCTCCGAGCAGACGGGCGCGACCGCCAACGGCGCCCTCTCGCCGATGTCGGTAGACGGGGAGAAGGCAGGCGACTCCGGTTTCACGGAGCCGAAGCGCGAAGCGGGGACTTCAGCGGCGGCGGCGGCGGCGGCAGCAGAAGCGTCTGGCAAGATGGAAACGGGGTTTGCTACCACCCTTGCGGCGGAGTCGCAGCAGCAGCGGTCCCCGCCAGCGTCGCCGTCCCTCGCCCCCCGCGAGAACGGGGCCAAGCCCCCGGACGCGAAGGCCAGGGCCGCGGCAGGCGCGAAGAAGGGGGGAAGCGGAAGCAGCGGCAGGAAGAGCTCGGGGTCGTCTCCTGCGGGGAAGAGCGGCGGCGGGAGTACGGCCAGCTCTGCCGGGGAGTCGCCGAAGGCCGAGGTGGTCCTCGCGGAGAAGAACTTGCCGAGGGTCAAGGTCCCGCGGGCGGAGCTGCTGGGTGCCGTTGTTGCTCGGTTGGCGGTACGGCGGAGCCTAGGGGAGGAGGAGGGCGACGCTGGTTTGGACGGCGGTGGCGGTGGCGGCGTTAGCTGCGACGACATGTCGGAGAGCGACAGCGGGGAGGAGGAGGAGGGGAGGAGGAGGAGGAGGAAGGGGACGAAGGGCGGGGAGGCCACCGTGGTGCGGGAGGCGGTCGTGTCCGCGTTCGACGAGATCGAGGGGAAGTACGTGCTGGTCAACACCCACGAGGAGGAGGAGAAGCTGACGCTGGAGGAGCTGGAGGTCGCTCTCCAGCAGTCGCAGGTATGCCAGCCCTGCAATCCCCCCCCCCCCCCCGGCGAGTATGAGTGACCCTCCCCTCCCCCCAACCCAACCCAACCCAACGCCGGCTCCCGCCCCCACCCAAGCGGCGGATGAATCCTTCCGCCCCTCTGACCTTGAGAGAGCAGTCGCGCATCCCATGTGTGTTCCCAGATGGGACGCCAGTACCCCCCCGCGTGCGCGCATTTTTATTGCAGCTCCATGCATCCCTTAATTTTGATTCGTCCGCTCATTTCTTCTATCCAACCCACACGCCCCTACCGTACCTCAGGTTCTGTACGGCTGCGCCGAGAGGATGCTCCCGCTAAGCCCGTCGGAGCTGGAGAAAGTGCGCGACGGGGAGCTTAACGCCTCCACCGCGGTGAAACCCCCCGCCGAGGACACCGCGCTGGCCGGCACCGGCGCCGGCGGCAGCGGCGGGGGCTACGGGACCAGCGGCGACACGCTCGACTCCAAGTCGCTCGGGCTGGCCTCCCTGCTGCGGCGGAAGAGCTACGCGGTGTTCACCCCGGCGGAGCGCGCGCGGCTGCTGCGGGGGCTCTGCGACCTGGCCGTCTCGACGTCCCCCATCAAGGAGCACTTGCAGGTGGGTGGAAGAGTGACGACCCTTGGTGGGAGGCACTACTTCGGGCGTGCGGGCGGGCGGTGGGGGTCACTCATAGGGTGTAGTCGTTAGACCGTTGACATCGCATCCCTACAAAGCCGGGACGGAGGGGGAGAATTTATTTCAAGTTTCACAGCGGTTGGGTTTGGCACACCAAATCCCGCGCTTTTCTCGGCCACGCCTTGCGTGTACTCTCCCGGCGAGTGCGATGTGTCTGGACTTGAAATCCCCCGCCCAATAAATGGAATTGGTATCTGTGACCACGGGAATCGACCGCGTCAAGTGTTAGATCAGTACGGACAGATGGAGGTATTGGGCAGAGAGATCAGAACGGTTTTAATGTGAAGACAACAACAGTAACATCTGTGGAGAACACATACAATGCTTCCCTATACATTCCAACACACGCGCAATCCAGTAAAGCCGCAAGGGTCCTCGGCCCATACACCTCCCTTTTTAATGTTTTGACAATTCTCATGTACGGCCGATTCACCCCCTTTACGACTTGTTTGTAACAACAGCTGCTTCAGGAGCGCGTGCTTCGGCTAGAGACGGAGGCCATAGCCTCGGAGAAGCAGGCGAGCAGCATGTCGGAGAGACAGCGATTCGAGGGGGACATCGGCCCTTCGATCAAGTGAGAAAAAGAAGAGGCCCGTTTGGCGCCACCAAGCCATTGTATCACATCACAGCTAAAACCCATATAATTAGAAGTGCATCATATGTTTAACGTATAGGTTTAAGTTTTACATGTGACTACCGTATATGACACAAGATAACACACCCCCTGGCCCGATTTTCAAAGATTGATTGCTCGACGACGAATAGGATACATAAACGAAATGATACATTTTCCAAAAGCTCTCACCGAGACGGTTCCAACGCCGCCATTTTCGGCGCTGTGAGTCTTCCTGCTGTTGAGAAATCGATCTTTGAAAATCGGTCAAGGGGGTGTGTTATCTTGTGTCATATACGGTATACTACTGTAGAGCCTATAGAATGGATATTATAGTATAGGTTTTAGTATTCCACACTAAATGGTTTAAGTTTTACATATAGATTTCACATGTGACTATGCTAGAGCATACAATGAATATTTATAGTAAGTGGGTTTTAGTATGCCACACTAAATGGTTTAAGTTTTACATATAGGTTTTACATGTGACTATGCTAGAGCCTATACAATGATGAATATTTTTGGAAGGTTTTAGTATGCCACACTAAATGCTATGCAATAGACCCCCCATTCTCCCGATCTGGTCCTTGACCCAGTTGGGGGTTGTGCGTCGAATACTTGAATTCGTACCGCCACCCTCCAAGGGCTCCTCTCTTTTTGTGTCATTTTGTGTCATTTATAGACCTTGTGTCCTAACAGCACGGCGAGCGGTGTTCGCCGTTTTCGTTTGACTTTCTGTCCGTTTCACTGGTGTGTTTGTTGTACGAGAATAATGCCCCAATGAATGATGCATTTCGCCCTCTCCCTCTCACGAGAGAACCTCGCACAAGACAATGTTGTCGCAGGCGGGGGGGCGGGTTGCGCTTGCTCATTTTTTGCTAACCGAGCTATTTATTTGTTTGTTGTGTTTTTGTCGGGCTATCATTTACGTACGCGCACGCTGCTCGCGTACACCACGGCAATGGTGCGGGGTCGGTAACACTGCACGAATGCTCGCCCGTCCGCTATGTTTTATGCATGCGTAAGGGGAGGGTCGCAGGCTTGGAAAAGTGGCGTGTGTTTTTTACAATGCTGCATGTTCGTTGCCCCCATTGTTAATCTTGTTGCGAGCACAGGTCCCCTCGCCGATCGCAGGACTTCAGCTGCACTCATCCCGAAAGAAAACATTACGCCCGAGGTCTGTGCGTGAGCTGCTACCAAAGGTAAGTTGACGGCTTGAATATGTTTGTTTTCGTCATATTTGCTACTTAAAGGTTGATGGAGGTGAACATGGGTTGCAAGTTGACGGCTTGGATATGTATGTTTCATCATTTTCGATTGTTTTTGGGTTCATACAGGTTAACATCGGTATGTAGCGCTTTGGCCGCCCTTTTTTGCGGGAAAGACGCGCGAGCGCGCGCAAACACCCACTGACCCGTCCTCAAGTCGACCTTGACGGCAACCAAAGGACCATAACGTACGTTCTGTCGCAGCAGCAGCAGCAGCAGCGGCAGCGTTACTTCTCTCGAACCGTAGTAAATAGATACCGTGTCAAACCAATTCATTTTTTTTTCGGGTTGGCGCCGTGCTTCTTGCCCCGGCAGGTGGCTGCGATACCGCAACCTGGCGGAGGACGACACGGCTGCCGTCGCGGGCGCCCCACCGCTCACCGGCAAGAAACGGCCGCGTACCCCGACCTCCAGCAGCGGGGGCAACACGCCAGTACCGCCGGAGGTTGCGGGGGGGAGCGCCGAGTCGAGTTCGGGGAGAGAGGAGGGAGCTGCGGTCGCTAGCGGGAGGGGGAGAGGGAGGGGGAGGGGGAGGGGGAGGGGGCGGCGCAAGTCTTCTCCGTCGCCTACGTCGCCGCCGCCGGCGGTGTTCTCGCCGACCCCCGGCGTTCCGCCTGCCGGGGCGACGGCTTCGAGGCCGAAGGGCGGTGCTGAGGGCAAAGGACGGCAGCGAGAGCAGCAAGAGGAGGAGGAGGAAGAGGAGAAGGAGGAAGAGGACGAGGAGGCGAAGGAGGGAGAGGAGGACGAGGATGAGGAGGAGGGGGGAAAGGAGGAAGAAGAGGAGGAGGAGGAGGAAGGAGGCGAGGAAGAGGACCAATCCACGGGGGATGGGGAGACCGCAGGGTCTCGGGCTTCGCGAGATATGTCGGTAGATTCGGCGGAGGCGGGTGAAGGAAAGGGCAAGAGGAAAGCAGCGTCCAGTGGCAGCGGCGGTGGAGGTTCCAACCAGGGCGAAGAGGATGAGGAGGAGAAGGACGGTGAGGGGGGCGATGATGATAGTGGTGTCGACCCGGCCGACTCAGGCGAAGGTAAACCGGAACAAGCAGTGGATAAGTCAGAAGCGGAGGAGGAGGACGGGGAGGAGCAAGACAAGGAGGAAGAGGAGGAGAAGGGGGAAAAGGAGGAGCAAGGGGAAGCGGAGGAGGCGGAAGAGGAGCAGCAGCAGTCGTCGGCCGCACCGGACCAGGGCGGAGAAGGAGCGGCGGCGGCAGCGGCAGCAGAGAGCGGCGGCGGCGGCGGCGGCGGCGCGGACGAGGCGGAGGCCGACGGTGTCATCCCCGCCCGCCGCTCCAAGCGAGCGAGAAAGGAGAAGTCCACGTTCGGGGACAGTCCGGAGCGGCCAACCGCTGCAGCCGGTCGCGGCAGCAGCGGTAGCGGGAGAGAAGCCGCAGGAAAGGAGAAAGGCGCGCCGCGACCGTCGTCATTCTCCCACAGCACCCACACGAGCCCGTTCTCGACGCCGACACGCTCGGCACCGGAGTCGTCGTCCTCAGCGCCGGCGGAAGCGGAAACGGAAGCGGAAGCGGAAGCGGAAGCGGAGGAGTCACCGAAGACAGCAGCGTCGGATGATAGCGGTGGCAACGGCACCGCCGCCACCGCCGCCGCCGCCGCCGCGGAAAGCACACCGGCGTCCAAAGAGACCGGTGGCGGTAGTAGCGGGGGCGGGACCGAGATGACGGCGCGCGAGCGCCGAGAGTGGCGGCGTGCCCAGGCGGCGGAGAGGGCGCGGGAGCTCCGCGCGAGGGGACGGAAGCTGTCGCCGGTGAGCCGGCCGCTGGGGATGGACCGGGACGGCAAGGTCTACCTCCTCTTCCGCGGCGACCCCGGCGCGGTGTACGCGGGAGCGTTGCCGGAGGGGGCGGTGGCGGCGCTGCGGAGGGGCCGCGGGAAAGGGCGTGTCGGCCGGCCCCCGGCCTACGCCACGGCGGCGGCTGGGGCGGGGCCGAAGGAGGGCGGCGAGGGGGAAGAGGAGGAGAAAGAGGCCGCCGGGGGTTGGTCGGTGTTCCGCGGGGAGGCCGTGGAGGAACTGGTAAGGGCATGTGCGGGAGTATTGACAAGGAAACTGGTATGGACGCTGTTGCGTATGTATTGTCTGCTTGTTGTCGGTTGTGTGTGCAGGGTCAACGGCATGTGCGGGAGTGAGTACCAAGGTCGTACTTCGGGCGGGAAGCTCTGGTGGTGCCAGTAGCAGCAACTGGCGACCCGTCGCTTGCTTTTGGTATGATCCCGCGCCCGTTACCGGCACTTGGGTATGCATGCATGCGCCCGCGGCGAAGGGTATTGAACCTACACGGCGACCCTCCACCACACACGCACATCCCTTCTCGCGGCTGTTACTTTATTGTGCCCCCATCAGGCCAAAACTTTGCACTCCAGCCCCATTCGCAGCGAGTCGCGCTTGGCGAAGGAGATCAGTACCCAGCTAAACATCAGCCTCAAGACCGTCCCGGAGGGGGAAGAAGAGGAGGAGACTGATGGAGAAGGGGGTGCCGGAGGGGGCAAGGAGGTGGCGGGTGGGGCCCGCGGCGGTGCCGGCGGGCGGCGAGGGGGGCGCGGCGGCCACGGCAGTCGGGGCTCTGGATCGACAAGACTGGTAGGCACGCGGGTGTTTGTTGGCGTGTTGATGTGGGCGCGCGGGGGGGTTCCCGTGGGTTTGTGTTTAGGTTTTTTAGTTTTTAGGCGTCGATGGCGCGCGCGTGTGACTATGTTTGTGAGCTTGTCGATGTTGGCTTTGTGTTTCTGGTGGATTTTTTTGCAAATTGTCGATGACCTTTTCACCCTTGGACCAATGGGAAGGTTATGGTCGTGTGCTAGGTCTCAGCGGGACAATAGAAGGGTCGTGCCGTTTCTAACCGGCAGGCCGCAAGACAAAGGGCGACAAACCTGAAGCGAATCTTGCTCGAGAGTATGTACGGCGGTATCACACAAGATGCAAACAAAACGTTGGAGACCGTCCCGTTTTTTTTTTTTTTTTTCGCTGCTGTGCCCGTCGGTGCCAGAAAACCCTACCTGAGCATTACGTCTACCCTGCTCGGTAGGTTTTTGCTAGTTAAAAACGAATATGTTTCTTCTGTGCTCGAATGGCAATGGGTGTACTCACATCTGGGGGGCAGAACAGAACGCCCTTCTTCCGTGTTTTTGCTGCTGTGTGGAGTGATCAACGAGAACTTTGTTTGCGCCGAGACTGACGACTCCTGACTGACTTGTGCGCACATTGCCGTCGTCTTGTTTTTGTCGCCGTAAAGGTGCGGCGTTCGGATTCCGGCCAGCCATGGCACCAGCCGGTAGACTGCTCGATTAGAGGGGCCCCGGTGGATCAATGCCAGGTGCGTGTGAAGCGGTTGTTCTTGCTGTCGTTGTCCTTGATGTGGGTGGTGGTGTTGCTGAAATTGCTGTGGTCGTTGTTGTTGGTTAACCGGGTTTTGAGTACGTCCCCTTTTTGGAAGGCCCCCGAAAGCGTTTCGTGTGTTCCACTGCCGTGCGTGTCGCCGTTTGGCTTTCGAGGTGTCAACTAGCCGAGTGCATCGAAACGCCACACACACACACACGTTCGGTTGGAAAGTGGACGTGTTTGGTACGCCGCCACAGGACTGACATATTATTGTCTTTGGTCAGCCGGTTTGCGCGGTCGGTGGTAAACCGCACACACACACACACACACACGGTGTTTCTTCTTCCGCTCGTGTGTGCTTTTGTTGCCCCCCCCCCCCCCCCCCCCCCCCTTCAAGGAAAAAAAAAAAATAAGAAATTTTTCCCAAAAAAAGGTTTGCCCGGGGGCGGGGATGTTATTTCCCCACCCCCCAAATAAAGGGGGCCCCGGGGGGGGGGGGGGGCTGGGGGGTACCGGGGAAAGGGGGGGGTCCTCCCCCCCCACCCCCAAACGAACCCAAAGGGGGAGCCGGGCCTTCAGGGACCAAGGATTTTTCAAAAAAAAAGGAAAAAGGGGGGGCCAACCCCGGGGAAACGAAGAACCCCTCGGCCCCCAAACCCAAGGCCCAGGCAAAGAAAGGAAAGGGGAAATTTCCCGGGTTTAAAACGCCCCT